AAATATTTTCTATTAATAAATATTACATTTATGATTAATTATATAAGTTGATAAATAATAGATACTATGTAAATGATGGTAATTGTTGTAAATGATGATAATTGTTGTAAATAATGGTAATTGTTGTAATTGTTGTAAATGACGGTAATTACTGTAATTGTTTTAATTATTACAATTATGAAAGTTATAAGAATTATGGAAATTATGGAAATTATGGAAATTATATAAATTATATAAATTTCCAGTTGTAACAATGTAATAATTGAGAATGACTATCTAAAAGGATTTGTTCATATCTAATTCTAACAACTACGATACATGTTACTTTTATACAAATCCAAGATATAATTTATCAGCTATACAAATTCATATTCACTATAGCACTTAAATTCTATTAATTTAATATTCATTTACTCATTCATTCACTCATTTGTTTAGTTATTCATTTGTTCGTTCACTTGTTTGCTTGTTCACTCACTTGTTCGCTCACTTCATGTGACTTGATCTTTATCCAATAAGATATAAAATATGCATAATTCAATAATATGAAATATTATGATGAAAGATCATTATACAACAATATTTTTATTGATTGTTTTTTATTCTAATCAAATCGGATGGAAGTACATAAATGCATATAGTTTTGTTGATTTTAGAAAATTTTACTGTAATATTAATATTAAAAGATTAATTTTAGAGTTAGAATTAAAGCTAATATAGATTATATATAAAAATTATTATAACTATTTTTATATAATTTATTAAAATTGTATGATTTATACTATCTAATACTATAATTATAATTATATATTTATTTAATATAACAAGAATAAAACTGATCTTTTATAATAAAAAATTTTTTGTTATAAATATCTTTTGTTATATAAATAATTGATCAAGAAACTGGTATAAATAATTATAAAGATGAATTAAAAGCAAATCAATACTAGTAAATTTATTGAATAATACTTTGAATATTCTTAATTGCATAATAATGGCTTGCATTTTAGAGATTAAAATTGATTACAATAATATTGTCGATTTATTTTGTCATGCAAACTCAATAGTTAATGTACTTCAGATTCAAGATGGATTGGTATTAGCAGAAATTGTAGTTACTAAAGTTTTTATCTTTATAGACTGCTACAAAATACAAATGTCTAATTCAAGGAGTGATGGAAAATGATCAGAAATATATAAAAACTTCAGATAATATTAGTTAGTTCAGATTATATATAGTAGTATTGTTTATATACTATATAAATGAAATTTTAAGAACGACAGAATTCTTCAAAAAAGGGCGCAAATTATGCGCGATAATTTTTTTACAAAGCATCGTGTAATGATTGCTAAATTTTTGTTCATTCATATTAGTGAGTGGGGGAACAGACAATGATTTCTTTGTTGTCGCAAATGTAATAGATTTATATTTGCGCAGATTAAAAAAGGAATTTCGAGCTATATCTGTTTCTGGAATTTTAGTTATGAATCCCGATTAACATGACTAGTGACTATATATAGATGCAAAAGTAAATTCGAAATCCAAAACCCAAAAAAATCAAGCTTTGAGCAAGATATACTCTATTAACTACATATACAAATTATGCGTATTATTTTAGTACGAACTTGTCATCAGAAACACTAACTATATCTCTTATATAATAACGCAATAACAATAAAAATACTATTATATAAATAATATTAAGAGGAAAGTTAATCAGGCTAAATATATATTTGGATTTCTTGTGTGTTTTATAAATTATAGATTTACTGGGAAACATAATTGAGGAGTAAGCTGATTAAGAACGGAAAAAATTAAGTAAAAAAACAAGTAAAAAAAATAGATAACCGGTAAAATGATTGTAACCCAAAACCCGAAATTGTTTCAGCAACAAGATCCACCATTCCCATTAGTATTATGAGGTATAATATTTCCACCAGGTTGTAAATGCATTCCTACTTTGATACCATTGGCCTGAAAATCGATCATACGTAAATTATTTGTCAGTATATTTATTATACACATAAATATATTGATATATAATAATTGTTTACCTCATTAGACACATCAAAGATGCCCTGCTTAATCTTATCGTAAATATCCTTAGCAGTCGAAACAAATGCTTCTTCGACATTTGCTGCAGTTTTCGCTGAAGTTTCCATGAAGAATAATCCATGCTGTTTGGCGAATGCTTCACCTTCCTCATGTGATACAGCGCGTTTTGAATCGAGATCACTTTTATTACCAATTAACATTATTGTTGTGTTAGAGTTTGAGTGTTGGCGTGCATCTTCTAGCCAAGTTAAAAGATGATCAAACGTGTCGCGTCTATAATTGATAATACCAATTTAATGAACATTATTAAAATAAAACAGAAAGGATTTAAAAGTATTACTGTACCGAGTGATATCATAAACTTCATTTATATGGGAAGTATAATGCGTTAAAATATTGTTCTTGAAAGCAATATGAATAAAAAATATAAATTTACCTAGCAATGCGCCAGCTGCTCCACGGTAATAGCTTCTCGTTATACTTCTGAAGGACTCTTGACCCGCCTATGTTATTAAAGAGTGAATATATGCGTGCATTTAATGATGTACATAATTATCTCAAAATTCTGATTTTCTATTACCGTGTCCCAGATTTGAAGTTTAATCTGCTTTCCTTCAACCTTTTACGATTACAATAAATAATTCTTGTTTAGCATAGAAAATAAATTGAATAATACATAACTAGGAAAAGTTAAGGTCTACTCCAATCTTCTTACATTGACAAACCGTGCACCAAATTCCACACTAAATAATAAACATAAACAAGTGAATTTTAGATTAAGTCATATTCATCTGAAGAACATCCATATTGATTTTTTATTTACCCAATCGTCAAATCATGTGCTGGCTGAAAACGTTTATCCGTAAATTGTAAAAGTAGACACGACTATAGCGGCGACAAAAGTAAAAATATGAGCTTTCTTAATGTAATTTCACAATATGCAGTGAACTCTATATGGAGTTGTGGGTTTTTCCGGTATGATTGATATCGTAGGAGTATATTTGCCGCCAACAAGATATTTCAGTTCGTATATGTATCCGCTTCTTGTTAGCGCGAATCCTCATTAACATGGGCCTATACAAGTTAACATACCTTACCGACACCTAATTATTTAATACTTTAGTTAATTTTGACTTCACAATAACTTTAAAGAATTTGCATTCATTAAAAAAGTAACGAAATACCAGTGTCTCCAATGATTATGTACTATTATATCAAATTAGATAACGGTGGCAACAGAACAAAGACGGTATAATAGTTACGAAATGTACGAAATGAAACAAAATACAAAAGAACAGGGATGGGGAATGCCTGAAGAGAATAATAATAATACCTTAATGATGTAGTCATAAGTAAAGTTTGACATTGCACTAATAAATTAGCGTAAAAATGATTTTGAAGAGGAATTGATATATATATTATCTTGACTTTGACAATTCGTTGAGAAAGTAGGAAAAACTTGAAGCGAGTGGTTTAGGCAAGAAGTATCATTAAAAGTAGGTGATGATGCAATTAATCAGGATAACAAAATCTTCAATGTCCAACACGTGGAAAAATGCTCTAGTTGTCAGATGAAACCATTGATGCAACTCTTAACGTTAATTCTCTGATATAAAATCTTTATTGTTGTTTGCTTTTTATGGTTTCGGCAGCTTTTCACGATGTCACAGTGGCTACCACCTGGTGAGCTTTTCCTATCTTCGGTTTTACATTAAGCTTTTTACTGCTTTATACACGAGGCTCATGCAAATTAAAAAAGCTCATTGCAAATTAAAAGAAAATCAAAAAATCCTGTCAAAAAGAAATATTTACAACCAATTTGCAAATACAAATCATCTCATTTTCAAGAATGAATTTTGCAATTTATTTGAGCAGGTCAATACCCTCCTGCTTCTCAACCACCTTACTCGAGTTATCAGGGACCTCCAACAGGCCCATCTAACCAATACATTCCAGCTATTCGGCCGCCGCCTTATCAACGGCCACCCTTAAATTCGACAAACTCGCCATCCAATGACGAGTTATCTGCTTCGTACGATAATCTTGCAGTTAGTCTGAGAGGTACTGCTGGTCCAGGAGAATTGGATAGTTTTCAGCGATCACTCTCATTGCTTATGCATGATTGCTCACAATCTAATATTCAGGTGAGCTGAACTTCATTCTCTGCATTTCTATATTCTTTGGTTGCCAAAAGGTTTTTTTCGTTTCTTATTCACAAAATTTGATTCAAATCATTCAATCAATAATTTGACGACCTATGTCGGACCGCCCGTCTTTCTATCTCTGTGTTAATAATATAGCGTGGAAAAACATGGATATTTGATCATTGCACAAATCCGTCACAATTTGAAGTTCTTGCTCGTTTTATAATTTCATTGTCAAAATCACGTCCGTTATTTGAAGACAAATTACATTTAATATACCTAATCAATGACGTCCTTTTTCATAGGTGTGATAAATTATATATATAGAATACATCTTATTATTATTATTATACCACCACCTTTTTAATTAATAAATATATTCAAAGTTGCACGTATTTAGCAAAAATTCTTCTAAAAATTTGTTTATTACAGTGAACGTCGACAGGAACCCTGGATAAAGGAAGCCTTGCATCCGCACTTACATCATTTGCTCCGTGCTGCTTATCATTTTTTGGATGCTACTGAAAATCAACAAGAAAAAGTCTTGAAGGTATTTGGGTTTCGATATTCTCTATCATTATGTATTATCGATCATTCACGTATTGAATCCTCGATATTTCATAAAAAGGTTATTTCTATATGGGGTGATAAGCATTATTTTGATGAGGCTAAGATTAATAATTTGAAAGCCAGTGTCTTAATTCCTCCTCCCCCGCCTGGACAACCTCCAACTTCAAATTTCTCTGGTCTTACACATGGACAGCACAACTTTGGGAATGCACATTATACGATGCAACAACCTATTCCCCCATTCTATAATTCAAATTCTGTATCACCACCACCACCACCGCCACCTTTATTTCCTGGAGTATCACAACCATTGGCTCCGCCGCCGCCGCCACCACCTCCAGGACCTATTATCACTTCTAATTTATTACCCTCACATATTAGGCCTATATCAGAACCTGGTCCTCCTGGAATATCATCGCAATTTCCACCTCCTGGTACTTCTCCGCCACCGCCACCATCGTCTATACCAATTCAAGGAATGATACCTCGTCCTGCAATTCCTCCGCCTCCTGCAATACCTCCAGTTCCCGAAAAGAAATATCACGAATTACCAGCGGGATTAATGGTACCAGCAGTTTCGGTATGAAAATTAATTTTGAAGACTATATTTCTCTATGCTTTATTCCCTCTTAATGTTCTACTTATTTGTCAGCTCTCTTAGGCTGAGAATCCACCATATACCCCTATCCCTGTGGCCTCTATTAGGATTCCGCCGCATCGTTTACCGCCTACTCCTGAATTGTTGGATGCTCTGGACAAATTTTACGAAGGACTAAAATTAATTGTGCCTTCACCAGACGAAGAGAATAAAGAGAGTTCGGTCACACCAAAGGAAATAATTGAGTTGGATAAAGACGGATGGGAAAAAGGATTTCTTGACAATTTTTATAAAGATTTACAAATGCGTCGAGCAACGGCTGCTGCTAAAGCAGTCTCTGAGAGACATCGCATTCGTATGCCGTATCAACAACGAAATAGGGAAGAACGAGGAAGAAGATGGTCAAGAGATCGAAGTTATTCAAGATCTAAATCAATATCAAGGTCTTCTTCACGAAATCGTTCAAGGAGAACTAGAAGAAGACATAGTTATTCAGACTCGTCAAGAAGTAGAAGTAGAGGTCGATCACGAGTTCATGGAAGACATAGAATCAGAAGCCGAAGTAGAAATCGTTCTAGATCAGGCTCTAGGCATCGGTATAGAAGTCGTAGCCGTTCAAGGAATACGTGGAGAAGAACACGATCACAATCAAGGTCATCTTCCCATTCAAGGTCTCATTCTAGAACTAAATCAAGATCACAATCAATATCAAGGTCAAGATCTAGGTCATTATCTAGATCTAGATTGAGATCAATGTCAAGGTCAAGGTCTCGTTCTAGATCAACATCAACATCTCGATCTTATGACCGCAGCAGAAGTTATAGTCGTGACAGACGTAAGTCTAGCGAATATAGCTCCTCATCTCGACGACGTCGACGTAGTAGGTCATATAGCAGATCGAGGTCGAGAACGCCGCAATTTTATGGTGGTGGTGGATTGGGTTATACTGGGCAAGGAGATGAAATTGCAAGGCCAGACAGAATGATATCAGATCGAAATGTTGGTTTTCAAATGTTGAAAAAATTAGGTATTTTTTTTTTCAGTTCAAGTTAAATATTATAAAAATATTAGTAGTGATAATTTGATTTCATCTTAGGTTGGGAAGGTGCTGGCACAGGTTTAGGTTCATCTTCGACTGGGATTGCTGAGCCTATTAAAGGCGGTGAAGTTAGGCATGGCGAACAAAAATATCTGGGAGTAGGACATGATCGAGGCGAAGGAGATGACATTTTTGATCAATATCGTAAACAGAAAAGCTATACATATCAAAGAATAGATGCTCCTTCAAAAGATAAGCCTGCTGGATGTTTTCGATGTGGAAAAGTAGGTTCAATGAAAATTTTTATAATTTTTTTTTATATGGAAATATTGAATGCCCTTTTTTCATTATGTATAACAAAATAACAGCCAGGACACATTGCTCGTGAATGTCATGCAATTGGACCGTTTCACTAACTTGAATGGTAAACGTAAATTGATTGAATTTATTTCATTAATTCACTCTTTAACTTAACTCACTGTCTTTGGTATTTTTACAGCACAATGTTTGAATTTTATTTATTGGACTCAAAAATTTATCTGTTTGCGATTTTAGAGCATGCAACATTTTTATTATCTAATATTACAAATCTTTAGAATATGTTAAATTAGGTTTATTATCGTAAACTGTGATGGCCCAAAAATTAGGATTTGTCGAAAAACTTTTTTTCAACCTTACAAATCATCCAATAACGATCGCTCAACTGTTATTATTTTTGCTTTTATTTACTAGAGGCGAATTCAAACCTTGCTTGTTTCGTGCTATTTCGATTGCTAAAAACTATTATTAATTGGTATAAATTAGAAATATTCGAATTTTCCATTTAAAACAAACAAATAATTACGACGTGACGATGCAATATAATAATATTAATAATAGTAGTACCTGAACCCTGAGAACTTTAATGAAAATAGGTATGAAATTAATCTCGTGTGATGTTTTATTTATTTCGATATATTAAAAAAAATAAATTACCAAGAATGGTATTTTTCTCTGCGTAGTCTCCATTGACATCTTTACGTAACAATGTCCCAAAATTATAATCCTCAACTTTCTTCTCGTATTTCATCATCCATTCGCGCCACTTAATTTTTGCCTCTGGTGATTTTATCTCATCCTCGTTCAATTCGTCTATACGCAGATCTGGGAAATTCTTTGTAAAATCTGCGTAAATTTCATCGTCAATCCTTTTTTTGATGTCATTGTTTTACAAGTTAGATTCAAAAGATATCATTTTGCGAACAGAATGAGCAGAATAAAAATTTGATAGTACGGTGTTAGACGAAGATTTTTGCCATCAATGGCAGTTATTAATTTGAAATAAGTTTCCGCATGGTGAACCGCTTTTACTACCCACTGCTTTTCTGCAAGTGCAACAAATTTCTGTTGTGGTGAACTCAAAATAGTTTCTCACATACGCACACACATACACTATTGCAATATATTACTAATGTATCATTTTTAACTCTAAATATGCTTTAATAAACTAAATAACGATAATAAAGGATGTCCGAATACCAATGTCTGGATGATTTTCTTGTAGTTCTTCAGCGGAAGGTAGAGACATTTTCGGAAAAGACCCAATGTGGTTATCGTCAGTGTGTGTCTAATAAAAATTGGGGTCTTTGATCGACTATTGTAAGTGTTTGATCATCCGTTTTTCGAAAACAGGTCATTTGAACCAATTGTAACCAGTTTGACAAATTAACCTCAGCCACATTAATTAAACTCCCGAGCTAAATGCTTTCCGAAAGAATTTGTAGAAAATCCCTCACGTTCGTCGTCTTCGGTTGATCATTTAGTAGTTTGCCTGGCAAGAATCATTTGCGAACTTAATATTCTTGTCTCACTCTTTGTTACCGCACTCTTTCTTTTTCCGCATACCTGCTTATTTTTTGTCGGTGCAACCACAAATTATATTGCACACTCTCGTACCTTCTACAAATGACAGAGACCGCACCGCTTTCAAATCTAGAGAACCCGGGACCTGAAATTCACACAAATTTCCACACCCGTGTTCCGGTTGTTTTTGAAAAAGTTCCAGAACCCTCACCAATAGTATCCATACCAGTAAATTCAGAAGATAAAAGTCCGCCTTTACGCGAACTTTCCGATCAGTCTAATGCTGAACAAGAAGCACAAATCAGCGGTTCACCCACTAACCCCTCCCTCCCTCCTAATTCTGAAGTTGAAGAAACTTACCAAGCTTCCGAAACTACATTTGAAAGAATAGAAGATGAGGAAACAAATGATTGCCCTTGTCAAAAATTCAGTGTAGCACCAGGTTCAGCAACTTGCACTAACTGTGATAGATTGGTTCCTGCTTTGGCAGAATTATATAGACAACGTTTGCAGTATATTGATGATTTAGATGTCGCCGATATTAAAATCAAAGAAGAATGTAAAAAATCCGAACAACAGGAAAACGAAATTGAATCTTTAAAAAAGAAAGTAATCGAACTGGAAGATCAAATAGATGCAAGAACCGATGAATTAAACGATTTACAAAAACAAATAAAGGCAAAAACCGATGAATTAGATTTAAGAGCCAACGAAGTAAATGATTTGCAGAGAGCAATGAATGTATTGAATGAGAAATACGTTGATGAAATTGACAAAGTAGCTGAATTACAACACTCTAAAGATATGGTCGAAGGAGAGTTGGAAGAATTAAGTCGATCACTCTTTGAACAAGCGAACAAAATGGTGGCCAAAGAAGCCAAGCAGAGATATGAATTGGAGGTTCAAAGAAAATCATTAGAAAATCAGCTTCAAGAAACCAAAGAAAGATTATTGGCTGAAAGTTCTCAATTACAAGAATTACGGGAGCGAATGCAACAAATGGTACAACAACAACCAGAACCCGATAGTAAGCGTTCTAGTAATCATAGTGATCCTGCATTCAGAGCCAGCGTCGATTTGGCTGAACTTTTCGGCCTTCGAGAGAAATCTCCAGATGCAGCAGCAATATTACCATCGCCAACCGGAGAGGATGGAATTGGGATTGATGACGAATTACTTTCTGAATTTAGGGACTTTGTTAATCAAAGCACATCTTCGCCAATTAAAAAGATTCATACTTTGCCATTTATGCGGCATTGTCTTGAGGAAGATGTGGATCCTTGCATGCGATTTGGTAATAATCCAAGAGTTTCAGCTCGTAGAATTGTTGACGCTATCGTTGCCAATACGTGTTGTATTGAGGAGGCACCTTTTGGGGCTGATAAAGAATTAGCGCTAAATCACACTTCACCAATCCGTAATTCTGCGGCTAAACCAATATTCTGGGGATTTCCTACAAATACAACTGCGACGCCACGTGCTGGCTGTCAATGCTGTGGTCGACCTGGCTCACTACCATTCCAATATCGTATTACTCCACTTGATGATTGGTCACTAATTGACCGATATTGTCGTGATAGATTAGTTGCAGTATGCGAGTTTTATGTCTTTATTCGCAATGTTCACCAAGGCTTTTATAATAATCGAAAAATTGAAGATTTATACGCGGAATGCTTGCGCTTAAGATTGCAAATGTTTTATGCAAGACTTGGAGCATTACCTTCCGTTCTTAATACTCTTGGAATTAAAGGAACTGAATTGGCGTCAGCACGAAAGCCATCATTGCCATTGTATGAATTTAATGAAAAGCATATTAATCGAATTGACGATGGTACATACGAAGAAGCAAATTATCCAAATCTATCAAATGGAAATACACCATCTTCACCATTAACACCCTCTTCACCTACTGAGCCTGCAATATCAGTGTCTCATCCTAGTACACCGACGCCTGTTGCTGGTATTACAGGATAGAATAATTATTAACAAGCGCATACACACATTAGTTATATTTGCCCTTGCTAACTATGAAACGTTACGAATAACGTAATTTCCATTTTTTAATCAATTCCTTTATTTGAGAGAAAGAGAGATTAATAAGTACCCACCAGGTTTTTCAATTCTGAAAGCATAGTAAACACATAAATTAGCATTCTCGCCCTAAGTAGTATTTATTTTTCTTTAATCAGCTAAAAACAATGGTAGTAGTACAGTTTATAGACTGTTAGCTGTCATTTATTTTCCTCTTTTTTATTATCTTCAAGTTTGTTTATTTAGTAATAATGGTATTAAATCTATTTTTGGATATTATGTAGAGTTGTTTTTTTTATTTATTTTCTTATTGAACAATCGGGTTTCCTTTATTGCTTTGTATAATCATGATGTAGTATACTTTTATTTCCCTTAACACCACACAAAATCTAACCTTTTTTACACATTATTATCGAGAATTTTCGCAATGAATTGCATTAGAACCCAATAAATAAATTAATAATTATATTATCAGTATATATCTGCTTTTTAGGTCCATCCGAGCTAAATTCGCGGTCGGAATTATTGTCGCACATATCATGATCACAATCCAAACAAATCGAACGTGTTTCTACTTTCCTGTAAAGTTGGAAAAAATGGCATATTACTTTTCGTACAGCGTAGTCCCGGCTGTAGCAACTTTTGCGGCAATAGCCTTGACTATTCCTTTTCTATTACCGACAAAAAAATCAAAACAAAAAAAGCGCCGCAAGCAGAATCAAAACACCAAAAGAATAACAAATTGCCAAGAGAACACGTGTGTCTATGGCCTGATCAATGGCGGAAACAATACTTGCTTCTTAAACTGTGTTTTACAAGCGCTAGCTTCGTTAACGCTGCTTCGAAACCATCTTTATCGTAAGGTTAAAAACGAACAAGCTGAGGCAGGGCCGGTGGCACTGACGCTACATGGCCTGCTTGAGAAGTTGAATGAGCCTCTACCTCGACATAAATCTTTTCTACCGAGTGAAATCATTTGGGCTCTACAAGCTAATGCAAGAAAGCTTATCAATCGTGAACAGCAAGACGCTCATGAATTATTTGCTTTATTATCTTCCGCACTTTCTGACGAGGAGGAGGCAATGAAACGTCCGAAACCATTATTCGACCTTTCTATTATCAAGAATCTTGTGGATCCGAATCTCCAACAGACTTTACCCACTTTCACTGATCCTGTTGAGAAAAATCCTTTACTTGGATTGACAGCATGTCGTATTTCTTGTATGCAATGCGGACATTCTGGCCCGATCAGGCACACCACTTTCGATCATATTTCGGTTCCCCTTCCTCATGCCACTAATTGTACTTTGGAACAAGTGCTCAGATCTTATACTAGCTTGGAATTTATCGACGAATTTAATTGTAGGAATTGCGGATTATTGGAAACTTTGTCGTCGATAGAGGAGAGATTAAAACAAATTCGTGGTGAAGATGATTATGAAACAATGAAATTGCGAAAACAATTAATCGCCGAGAAACAAATAGTCAAAGTAGCTTTGACGAACGAAATGGAAATCGAAGATCAGCTAGTGGCAGCGACTTTTAAGAATATCAAAACTTCGGCTACTAAGCAAACTATGTTTGCAAGATTGCCGTCAATTTTCGCGACTCATTTTTCAAGGACTATATATGTTCCGAATGCATTTGGTGGGATGATGTTAAAGAATCCATGTCAAGTTAAGTTTCCTGCTGTATTGAATATGGAATCATTTCTTTCCACTGGATATTTGGCAAATATGCCAAGTGAGCCGAGCCTATCCTCGAGCAGTTCTCCATCATCTTCTCCTATCTTGGCAGCAGTTGGTGTGATGGGTGGTGGGCATTTACAGCGATATGACAGTAAACCGTTTAATCCAATTGGCAGCAACAATTATTGCTACGGAACAAGTGCGAGTAGTAATAATAATCATAACAGCGTAAAACTACAAGAAGCGAAAGAAGATGCGCGTGGAGGCTATTATCGCTTAAGTGCTGTGATTGTGCATCTTGGAGACCATAGTCGAGGACATTTTGTCACATATCGAAGGCAATCAAAAGATGAAGGTTCAAGTACTTGGTGGCGCGCTTCAGACGAAGATGTTCGAGAAGTCGGAATTGATACTGTTTTGAGAGAAGAAGCTTATATGTTATTCTATGAGAGGATGGAAAAAGTGAATAATAAAGCAACAGAGATCGATCGACGTCATATTAAGAAATCAGACTTCGAATAAATTTTATTGAATGTTTCCATTTTCGATAATCGTATATCGTTATTCTATTTCATTTATCAATTCTAGCTTTCGATTATTAATACCTATAAATCAAAAATACCTAAAAATCAAAAAATGAATGTATTATAATAATAATCTGCACGCATTTTGTAAATATTTAGACATTTCATAATCATCACGGTAAATATTTCCCCTTTCACATCTTTAATTAGCGCATTGGTTATTGTTAGAACCATTTATAAATAGCAAATCAAAAAAATTAATAATTTTTTTATTATAAATTAATGCAAAAATTAAAAAATTACTATTAATGTTAATATGAATACGAATATGATCAATGTTCTACTTGGGAAGGAGGGGGATAACCGTTCTTTGTTCTTTATTATTATTCACGATGTAGCTCTTTAAATGAACTATGACCAAATGATAATGGAATAACCTCTGGTAAATGAGCTATTGCAATTTCACGCAATGTCTTTGCATCAAGGACAAGAAGAAAACTCTTATTTTCTTTTCCATTGAATACAATACTTAAGAGGATACCTTCGTCCTCTTCGGTAGACTCGGGAACAGGAACAAATATAGCTTCTGATGGATAACAATCTTCTTGGGACCACATGCCCACTGCTTCTTTGGTGTCCAAATCCTAATTAAAATAAATATTAGTTGATAAACTTTATTCTATCGATATATGAAATTAAGATAAACTTACACATTTAACAAGCGAATCCCATATTTGACCAACTTGACCTGCAGCTTTTGCCGAAAATCCGATGCCGTAAACATAACGATATCGGAGTCGTTGATAATAAGGATTGATACTAATAATAAAGAATGAGCAAAAATGAGGTAAGTGTAGAAACAGAATAACATCTCGATCATCCATTCATTACCTCGGTAATTCTAAAGCAGAATCCGAACAACGAACATAGTTAGCAATTGGATAAGGATAAATGCTTGTTTGATTTTCAGGCGTTCTCTTAGTGAATAAAGTCGATACGGTATTTTGAAGTATTTCAACTTGAGAAGCTTGAGGTTGTGCATCGAATTTCACAGACTCTAATTCAATATTTAGTAAGGCAAATCTACGAATTTCAGCTAGCGGTAGTTGTTTAATAAAGCCTTCTCGTAACTCTCTCAGATTCAAGAAATTTAGAATCTCATCGTTCTCGTATGATGCAATGTCTATGTAAACATTATCTTCATCGTCTTCAAAAGCATTAATATGGTGAAAACTACACAAATCAATAATCAAAAAATTCTTTAAGTCCTAGCCGCAATATAACAAATAAATAGTTCAAAAATGAGATTTACTCACGCGAAACACGCGTCAGATTTATAAGTGGAAACGTGTTTTTTCTTTGTTCTGGATATAACATAAAATAATGTTGGATCTTCAGGCCTAAACACAAAAGAATCCAAGATGTTGTCAGACCATTTAAAGTTTAGACCAGCATTCCGTCCATAAAAAGGGAAAATAACCTATTTGGAAATTAGGCGCTTGAGAAATGGAAACGGGATTTTTATATAAATTTGCTAATTAAAAAATTTACTTACTAGTATAATGAATCGCGGGGTAACCGCAAAACTATGAACATAAGAAGCCTTTGCAGTTATTGAGGCTATTAGATCACCACTCGGCTGTGTTTCGGACAACGAAAAGAAATTATATTTTGTCCCAAGTGGATGATATTCCATATTAAAATTAATTAGTTCACCAGTCGTTGAATCGTAATGTGAATGTGGTGCTGCATGATCTCCTTTGAAAAGTGGATTCAATTCATTCCAGGAATAAACTCGCGTTGGGGTTAAATCATGCGCATCCAATTCCACTACCTATTATTAATAGGATTAATTTTTTTAATATAAATTTAAAGATAAAATTATTCAAAGGACAGATTAATAGAAAATCACCTGACTGGCGTGGTTTTGACAATATAATTTTGGCTTTTCGCCAGCTTTACTCAATGGAAAACTGGCATTTATGTATGCGCTACAAGGTTCCAATTCGGGTTTGCTTGTACGCTTTTTCATCATCAATTTGGCCAACGGAGTTTGACTGTTTTAATGAGAACTTAAAATTAAATACGAATTTGATTAAAAAATTACTTGAGTCAATAATTAAGATTATAACCTACTTTACGTGTGTTTTAAACAACGAAAATGGATGTGTCGTCACTATTCCATGACGATCACGTACTTTTGATTCGTATTTTTTGCTGACATGTTTTGATCTGTAAATAATTTTATTAGTTTCTCCGTCCAAGACAAATCTGTTCACTAGCGGTAAGCTTAATTTAATTAAGATGATCAATAAACGAATTTCAGCATATGATGTTATAATCGAGACAACTTTTATTCTTGGATTTGAATTTTTCTACTTACCCATCAAACCAATGTCCCATGCTAAACGTGACCGTACCGCTTTCATATTCACCATTACCAACCTCTATCATCTTGTTGTATTTTATATCGTAAGTGCCAGGCCCAACTGTGAATAGTTCACCATTCAACCACGAAGGTAATTCACCTGAGACAGAAAGTTCAACCGCCTGAGGCGTCTCTTTTGCATTTAAAAAACCCTAAAGATGAAATGGCGCGAAATATTAAAAAGAGGTTTTGTATAATGAGTTTTAACGTCTCGAACAAGCAAAAGTTTTTCGTACCTTGTGATATAAGAGAGTAGATCTCATTCCAAAATCTTGACTATCAAAATTTTGCTCATCAGACAGTCTAGGTTTCTCTGAAAAGTCTTGAAGTTCTACGGCTGTCGCGTCCGACATTTTTGACATGCTTGATTGTTGTTTGATATAAATTTGTGAAGTGTATGTGAAGTGTATGTAAACTGCCTTATATATGCCTTCAAATTTATTTGTGTATCATCACTGATCGCATTGCCACGCTGTTATCTTAGACCAATACAAGTGATCGATTGCTCCATTGGTCGTATAATTGGTTCTGTGAAAAATGCAGCTTTTTTTAGCACATACTGTAATTAATACTCGGAATTTTACTACTATGCATATATAATGGGACAGAGAGCTATGTAGCAAATTGCAAGTAACTGATAATTCCTTGTCCAATATCATCTTTGATGAAATTCAGCTGCCTCTGTGAATCATTTTTTAGAACGGTGAAAATCTATTGAAGTGCTTTTTTATTTCAAATTGCAAATACGATTACCAAAAATCAATCAATGGCGATGATAATATTTAGGTGGGCTTAGTTTGAAGTCACTTCTAAAAGATTATCATTTGAAAGTTAAGAATCTGTTTAATTTTATTTAGAATAAAGTTGAAATGACGGAAAAAACATTTTTTCATATCTTGTTAAAAAATCAAGTATAATGATAAATAAAAAATACTTTTTATTTTTGTAACAATTGCAATTAATTGTGACGAATAAAATTGTGAAAGTGCTAATTTTATAAATATTTGCAATTTGTTAATTACAAAGCCATTTTTAATTGTGATAATTGCAATAATCACAAATTTTAAAAAAATATGTTAAATAAAATTGCAACTAAAAAATGAATAATTCAATTAATTACTATTTCAAAATATTAAATTCTTATTGGACAATTATATTTCTTTATTTTATTGAATAATATTCTTATTGGACAATTATAATTAATTAATTAGTTAATTATCATTTCAATAAGCATTTCAACTAATTATTTCAAAGATTATTTCAAATTTTATAATTTAATTGATAATTTAATATTCATTAATTATTTATAAAAAATCATAAAAAATTATTGAGTTTTTTTAATTAAGTTCTTTAATAATTGATTTCTTTGATTATTTAGCTCTTTGAAAAAGTTAACAAATATTATTACCATTTTATAAGTTTTTAAACATAGATCACATGTTTTTCACATGTTTTTGATCAGGTAAAAAAGTTGTTATATTTTAACTAAAGATTTTACATGTTTTAATATTTTTAAAGATGAAAGAAATTAATTTACTAAAGATTTTATAATTAATTATTTAAAAATAAATAATAAAGTATTTGTGTTGTTGAGCAACTATCAATTAACTTTTAAAATCAGTTATTTTTTCTTTTTATTAAGCTTTTAAATAATTTTATAGAGTAATGATGAAAGATTAATTTATTAAATAAAAAATATTACTTATTATAGACAAGAGATTTTTTAATAAAAAAATATAAATAAAAAAATAATAGGGTAATTAATACTTGATTAAAAAACTTTAACTCAAAACTTATAATATAAAAAGATTTTGTCAAAAGATAATTAAATTATTAGATAATTAATTAATCTATTTACTTACTTAACTAACTTGCTAAGATATATATTATATTTATACAAGTTATTTGTTACTCAATCATTAAAATCTAAAACTAAATTTGATTAATATTATTATTATATGAAAAGCATTTACTTGCTTGATCATTATATATTACTCATTTTAATATTACATATAATTTATAATTAATATTAATCAAATTAGATAATATTGATTAATTAATATATACTTTTTATATTAAAATTATATAATATAAAATTATAATTAATAATATGAAATAATATAAATTATAATTGAAATAGAATAAAATATAAATGAATAATATAAAATATAAAAAGATAATATAAAATATAAAAAAAATAGTATGAATAATATAAAATAAAAAGAATATAATATAAAAAATCTTAACTTTATAATAAAATGATATAATTTTAAATCTTTCAACTTTCTAAAAAAGTAATATTTTTGAAAACTGATTGGTAATAATATTCTTTTATATATTCAGTTCAAATTTGAACAAATTACATGAATTTAATATCATATGAATTAATATAATTGGTTGTTATTATTATATAATTCAATAATTCTGATTGACATTATGATAATGCTAAATTATCATTTGATAAATATTATATTATGATATAACAAAAAGCATTTATTGAATCTGAAACAAGTTTATAAATCAGTAACACAATGTTAAAGATTGCTTTTAAAGATTAGGATTAGGCTTAAAGTTAAATTGAAAGTAAAATTATATGTAAAACTGTCTCTTCAATATTTTTTATTAGTACTTCAAACTAGACTTAAGCATTGCTACCATTTTTAGTTCTTACATATGAGAATATTTAGAAATGGTTAACAGTGACTGTGTTCACGGTAGATTTTAAATAAAAGAGAGATATAAATGACGAAAGTGGATGGTTGACAATAATAAATTGATAAAAATATGAGTATAAGATGAATATTTGAATGAATTTGAATAATATAACAATACTAAAATTAATTATATGCTATTAATCCAAGTTAGAAAGTGTATTGACAAGATAAAAGACAATATGACGACAAAGAAAACAACAAAAGAAAAATAAAGATAAAACAAAAGAAAACAAAAGAAAAATAAAAGAAAATAAAACACAAACAAACAAAAATAAAGCGAACAAAAGAAATAAACAAGAAAAGTGAAAAAGACAAGACAAAGTTAAAACCAG